TCCTCCCGCACCTTCTTTGTCACGAACACGTTGCGGATCACATCGGGGTGGTGGTCCACAAGCGTCGCGAAGGCGGTCAAGCAGCAGCACTCAAAGTGTTCGCCCTGCTCGAACTGGTCCCGGTCCATCCTGTCGGGAAGGAGCGGCAGTGTCTTGCCCTCCGGATACAAGTCACCGATGTGAATCCAAGGGTCATTCGTGATGGCCTTGTTGTCAACCATGAACCGCTTGTCCTCGAAGGGCGTTGTGCTGTCAGGCACCTCCGTAATCTTGGCCGGAGGAATAATGATTGGGGTGTAGTCGATGGGGTTAGTCCTAAGCGCGGAATCCTCGCCCTCGTCGATGATGTCGTCCTCATCTTCAAACATGCCGGCATCCTCCGGGGCGTCGACGGCCCTACCATTTGAATTGGTGCTAACAACAATCGTAATCAGCGCGGGGACGAGTCCTTTTGCACGTGGGCATGTGACGGAGAGAGCGTAGCGCCCACTTCGGGGGAGATGATAGACGAGGCCTGTCTCCCTGAAGTTTGTTGCGGCGTGCACCCCGCCAATTTTACGATCCGTGTCATCGTACAAGTACATGCCCATGTAGTCCTGGGCCATGGCGTCACCGCCTGTTTTAGGACTCACATACGGTTTTAGTTGATGCATAAGAATATGAACATCTGTGGGAACATCAACGTAGAAATCAACGCGATCCTTTGTACGCATTTGAAGCTCAACTTTACTTTCTACCGGGCTGTCCCACGTCATACCAGGAATAGAAAGTCGCTCCACATGCAGGTGAGAGTAGTCATGGTTCTTCATTCTGTACAGCGCGAGGGTAAATTTTGACTCCGTTCCCTTTTGCATGCATGAAGGCACAAGGTAGCACAGGGAATTGGGGGGAATCGTAACGGCGTTCGCCACTTCACGAGAGTTGAGGAACAAACTCTTGTGAATGGGCTTGTGGTTATTGCCGGTGATGAAATACGTTGGAGTCTTTTGCGCGTAGGTGTACTGAGAAACAACAATGCCGCACTGTGTGTAATATAGGTCATATTCCTCTGGTGCCCAAAAGCGCCGCCGATCTTCCTGCTTAATCATAGCTACAAAAAGAACAGGTTCTGTTCCAGTGTTTCGGACGCAGTACAGGGGATTCTTGCGCCAGGTCACACTGGTGGGGTTGCCGCCGGCGGTCTCGCCTTTCCACTCGTCGTCAAAGTACGTGGCGTCGCCATCTATCGTGGATATGTAGCACAGCTGCATGGAATTCATGATCTTCAGGAAGGTGTTCAGGGGGAGAAAGATGGAGCGTTCGTCGTCCACATTGTACCTGGCGCGCAACTTGGGCGTCCACTGCGAATCCCTGCTGTTCAGGGGGCCTGTGTAGGCGAACTCCTCATCCTCAAAGGGGTTGTGTAGGTGGATGACAATGTCGTTCACTGACGACGTGCCTGTCATCGAAAAGATCTCAAGGACGCCGTATTGCTGCTCGCGCTGAATGCCCATGCTCTCAAGCTCCATGTCCTTCGTCAAGACAGAGGCCACGAACTGTCCGGACTGGATCTTCTGCGCCAGTTCCAGCCAGTAGTGGCCCTCCATGACGTCCGCCCCGGCGGCCTTGGCAAGCTTCGCGTCAATGGGGATGTTGAGCACGGGATTGCCAGTCAGGTCGTAGTACGCCTCCTGCAGGGTGCAGCCCTCAAGGTTCTCGTAGCCGGTGTAGAACTTCGCATAGGCCTTTTCCAGCAGCAGGGGCCACCAGTGCCCGGTGGGCGAACGGATGTACAGCTCCCGCCGTCCTCCAGGGGGATGTAGTCGTCAATCTCCACCTTCACCCACTCCTTGCCGCGGAAAAACTGGAACGTGTAGCGCCCGTCCCGTCGAACTTGGCTGGAGACGAAGCAGTTCCTGATGACGCTGGGGAAACGCACCA